ATATGTAGATGGGGTCAGATGAACAGACCAGTATTTTCTCTCCTGTCATTGTAGTCAGTTGGAGTGGGTGTGGTGTCGCCCCTGGACCCCGATGACATGGCATCTCCTCTGGATGATCTCACTATCAATGACGAGAGTCCTGCAGGTGCTGCCATCAGTCCTGAAGCCCTCAAGCATCTACAGGCAGCTGTCTCCTGTGGTTATGGGTTATTTCATTTGGCAATATCACTAGTGCCGCCCAAGCTGCTGAAGTTTTGCCATCTTCTTGGTTTCTCGGGAAACAGAGATGTGGGAATCCAAGCACTGAACTTGGCCAGCCAGAGTGAGGACATGAAAGCCCCTGTGGCAAGGTGTTGTTAAGACTGATGATGCTATGATAATAAATAGTTTTTATTGTAATTATTTTTTACTGGGCTAATTAAAAATGTAATGTATTTTTAACCTCAGATACATGTATCTTTCCTATCTTTTTTTGTTTGGAAACCTCCAGTTTTGACTGCTTAATTAAGCATATGACCACTAAATAGAGTCTTGGTAAAGTTTGGTACATAATATTACCAAAATCTAACTAGAATTCACATCGTAGATGATTTTGTCAGAGCAACAATGACAACACAAAAAATATGATAAATAAAAACATCTAGAGTATGAAACTGTTGACTTATTTAGGGTAAAAGGGAACCAGCTGTACTCCCTCTCTACCTCATATTCCCGATAATGGCCTATATCGGAAGGCTCGGCCCAAAAGGGGTACCTTTTTCGGGCTTCAGGTGTATGAAAGGGTAGAGAAATTTGTCATTTTGGTCTGTAGAAGGACTTAAAATGGCTAACAGAAGGGATTAATGGCTGTGAAAAAGTCTAAAAAAATTCCCATTTTTTTTATTTATGTCATAGTTAAAGACAATGTATTTACAGCAGTTAAAGAAAGGGGTACCATTAATATTTTGTTTCGTGGAAGGTATACAAAAGAGATACCTTTTCTGCCAAAAATGGTATATAAAAGGGAAAGGGGTTCTACCTCAGGGTGGGGCCTCCCAGTATAATCCTTTGTTTAGTAATCCCTTAAGACCTCTATCTCTAATTTCACCATTTAAATTAACATTATTTTATGATTTTTATGATTCCAGGCTTACTCTTCTGTGGTATCATGCGGTTATTCGGCCATTTGTAGCTCTTGACGAAGGAAACAATGAAGAAGGTCTGTGTGTGTCTTGTGTCAACATGATACAATCACCTAGTTAGTAATGTAACAGCTTACTTTGTTTCGGTCTTGTTTTCCTCAGTACTATTTCCTGTCATTCATAGTGCTCACATTGCTCATGAGTGGCTCCTACTTAAACGTTCTGCAATAACATTAGGCTGGTATAGGATTTGATAGAGCCATCAAAACCAAATTGCACATGTATTTTCTTAGAATTCTACTGATGAACAGTACTGTCACAACAGACATTTGCAGGGGCAACAATAGTATGTCCCCTTTCAATTAATACTATGTTTCTTAGGCAAATAGTAAGTAAACAAGTCTGTGAGTTCAATAGTTGCTAATTAGTGTTTTATAGCTTTCCAAGCTCAAAGCATCTGCTATATATATCATTTTCAATCACAGGTTTAGCAAATGCAACTGCAATCTTAGAAGAATCCTACCAAGAATACCCCAGCTCTGCTGTATTTCTCTTCTTCAAAGGACTTGTATCAAGGCTCAAGGTTTGTATCACTGCTTTGATGTGAGAGTTTTGCCTGAGTTTTGAAGGGGAAAGGGAAAGAGGGCGAATATTGTATTCTCTGCACATGGCCTTATTCCCCCTTTTTTCCCCTTTTTAACACCTGTACACCTCATTTGAGGTAACCCAAGACAGTCTTGGATCCTGGATTGTACGATATGGATTCCAGATTCCAGTTACTGGATTCCAGTCTTATTCAGTGGAACTTGGATTCTGGATTCCAATCATTAGTGGGATTCCAGATTCCTTGAGGTGTATTCTGGATTCCAAAGCATAGGATTCTGGATTCCACAAGCAAAAGTTTCCAAGATTCCAGAATCTTACAATTAACAATTTGTTCAGTAGTATAGTTTTGATTTCCGTTTTTAGGCTCAAGGTAACATCAGACCAGAACGCTTATTTCTCAGTTCTGAAAGGGAAGATTACTTTTTAATTTTGCTAAAATGTGTGCATTTTACAAACATGATTCATGCATTGAATTTTTGTTGTTGTTGTTCAATTTCATAGGGCCGCATAGGAGAAGCTCTGGATGAGTTTCACCAGGCCATGCGATTTGCAACAGAGCAGAAAGAAATAGCTCTAATTTGTCAATATGAAATAGGTCATTGAATTTTTGTTGTTGTTGTTCAATTTCATAGGGCCGCATAGGAGAAGCTCTGGATGAGTTTCACCAGGCCATGCGATTTGCAACAGAGCAGAAAGAAATAGCTCTAATTTGTCAATATGAAATAGGTGCGTATAAGTGCAAAGGTGTCTTTACGCCCACTTAGGGAGGGGTGTACCCATTTTCCAATTTTTCTGAATTGTAAAACTCATTGTTTTACATACTGCTTGGTGGTATTTTACCATTGTATTTCTGCTCCCCTTCTTTGCTGTCACACTTTGAGCCTATCTTTGTTTCGTTTACCGCTATATTGCATGTCTCTGTTTCAAAGCCATGCCACTTGTTGAGTTTTACCCTAACAGGGTGTCTGTATTGGTGGTGTGACCTTGTAATTCTTGAAGTTGCTGGCTGGATATTTTGGGATCATCATACATTTCTGAGAAACTGCTCATCTACCCCTCCCCTAAGCTAACATCAACACTTACTTCTGATTTAGGGCAAAATGTTGGCTTAGGGGAGGGGTAGGTGGGCAGTTTCCTAGAAACGTATAATAATCTGAATTTTGCAAGTAATGTTGCCTGACTTTTCTTGCATCATTTTCTCAACCAATCAGATGAAAAACTGAGGAACCTCATGACATGTACATGCAAGAGATAGAATGTAATATTGCTGATGAATTTCAAACTTTTAAACTAAATAACTTTGAGCTACTAACTTTTTAAAGCCAATGTAGTAAAAAAAAATCAGTTCGCTGGATCACTGTGCAGTTTTGGCATTGCAAAACTCAAGTGAAAATTAAACCCTTTCTTTATTTTTACTCTTCCTTTAGGTTGGTGTCACATGCTACAATTGGAATGGGAATATGCTCTTCCTGCGTTTTTTAGGTACGTCCAACATTAATTTCTTTTTGCTATGATGTTTCCTTTACATCTTTACATTTATAGTCCTTCTTGAAGTACTCCTCAGTGTTCAATGATTAATCTCTGTTTAGACAAAAAACGTTTTTTTACTGCTCAGGGCACCTCAAAATTAACAAACCTTGAAAAATTGAACTTTATCTCAAAGGCGTGATGTATCCATGTTTTTGTCCTTAACTTAAGTACTAATTCCTCTTAGCTTTTCAAGGGAAGCAAGTTATTTAAAACATGTGCCCTTTAGAGGAAAGCCAACCTTGTCTTACTTAATGTTTCATGTCCATGTTACTTTGCAGATTAAAAGAAGAATCGAAATGGTCACAAAGTTATTATGCTTATCTCTGTGGAGGTGAGTTTTTTAGAACCGCTACAGGGTTTCAGCTAGCAGATTTCATGGGAACATTTAGAGGGGTTGATGACTTTGTTCAGGAAAATGAAAGGGGTCTTCCGTGCTAAAAGACATGGTAGCACCCTCGCAAGTTCGGAGTATTTTCAGTCACACATCAGTATTTTTTTTTCTGCTGGAGATTTAGCTGTTGTCAGTATCAGGGAGACTGTAATAGGCCTCGGTATTAGACCGTAATAGTAAGGTGTCCTCAAGGCGAGAATCAGCTCCATCATGCTGGCTATATACAATCATGGCGAGGTTCCTCAAAAGATGGTTAAGTTTAATCCAGGATTAAGCCAAATTTTAAGCAAGGTTTTCTTGTTTAAGAACATGTTACTCGAGCTTCCAAAATACTTTTGTGTCTTTACTCCGAGATTCAGTGATGATAACATAGAATTTTACTCTAGATAATGCATAGGAAGGTAAATACCAAAATAGAACAAAATTTTTAATCCTGGATTGGCTCTAATCGGCTATCAGGAACCGGGGCTAGATGTACAGGACTTTGGATGTGATCTTTAAGCAGTTGATGTTTAAAAGCCCTCAAAATTCTCAGTCTCAGGTTCTTGCGGTTTGACTTTGGATTTGGTCAATTAAGGAGCCTCTGTGATGAAGTGTAGTTTGCTTTTGCATTTGCATTCATTTTGTATTTCAATTTATTTAATCATGATATAGGACGAGACTGTCAGACAGTAATAAAAATGTGCCATTGAAACGGTGCAATTGAGCTAATAATCCTAATACCCAGGCTCTCTTGTTTCTTCTTTACAGTCACGATAGGTATTTTAGGTAGCACAACAGAGGCCCAGGAGCAATTCAAACAAGTTCCTAAATTTGTAAAAAAGAAAACACCCCTAGAGCTGTTTCTCGTGAGGAAGGTAAGTTGTCTGTAGATTTAGATGTGCTGTTTAGATGTGCTGTTTAGATGTGCTGCTGTTTTTACTAAATGGAGCAACCCATTTTCATTTCACAACTGTTTCCAGTATCTTTTTATATGTTGGGTGTGTGTTTTTTCCTGATTTTTGTTTATCGGTATTTTTCATCACTGACTTAATCTATGGCATAAAATTAGTGCGGCATATTTAAGTGAGCAACCTCTTTAATCCAGAGGTGTATTCTAGTAACGATGAGCTCGCAATTTACACTGTTGACGGATTATCGATCGAACATGGGCAAGCACATTAAATTCATCTTGTAGTTCACCTATGAATACATATAAATAGAGACAAAAAGGGACCATCCTTCTGTGTAAACTATGTGCTTTTCTAAAGGGTTTTTTTTTTTCCCTAGCGTTTTGCTTGCTCACAGTTATTCTCTGTGTCAGTCACTGATCAGTACATTCGAAGCTCTCGTATGCGGACACCACCCTCGGGAGGCGAAAAAGGTGCCCATAACTGGAGCTGGCGGCCGCCTACGGGAATGTAAAAATACAAAGTTTGTATGGGAGTTCAGAAAAAAGGGGTTTTGTGAAGGCGGCCGTAATTAGGGCTGTCCGTTTACGAGAGTGACCGTTAGGAAAGCGTGCACTGTATTGATTTGCTCAGATCGTGCATAAGAAATATAACTGAAGAAAATCCTGTCTTTTCTTTTGTTTTTGTAGGCTGCACTGTACAAGAAATCTCCTCCATCAGAAGCCGATTGCCTACTACTGTCATTAGAACTTCTGTACGTGTGGCGCGCATTCTACACTTGCAGTGAACCTGTTTTAAATAGAATTATTTCTGGTGAGCCACTTTGTTTTGCACATGTCCGCATTATACATGTAGCTACCCAAGAGAGGATAAAGGGGACATAGTAGGCATCCCCCATACACACCCTATTCCATAGGTAATTCGTCTCGAGTTACTTTTACGTTTACTTTTAGAATCGGGATAAAGTTACCTCGCGCGCTGCGTGGATGTTTCGTGGAGGTTTCGCATGACTAAATGCCGTGCAAAACATGTCAGGCGAAAGGCAATGAAAGCGTAAAGAGATCGAAAGCATTACTGAAAAGTGACGCGAAATGAGTCGGCGCTCACCTGGGAAAAGGGAATCGCTAGACTCTTTGACAACCCGTGAAATCAGTTTGTCTCGAAGTTGTCGTAACCTTAGTGCTTTAATAAAATGAGAAATTTCGCCGGTCTATTGAAACCGGTCGTTTGTACAATAAAGCAAATTTCCGCTTAGCTTAGCTTCCGCAAAGCTTTAGCAGAAATCTCTCTGTAGTCTTTTTCGTCGACAAAACGAATAGCAATATCGCTCTTCGCGTCTTCCGCCATTTTGCTCTGCGTCAATTCGTGAAGGACGCGTGGCTCTGAGCGTGGGTCATCCACGCGGAACTCATTCGCCCTATGTGATTGGCTGTTGTCTAATCCCCCTTGGGATCTGTGGTCTTAAAAATAACTCCAGACGAATTACCTATGGAATAGGGTGTATATGGGGGATGCCTTCTCTGTCCCCTTTATCCTCTCTTGAGCTACCTTATTATAGGAAATTAGCGGGAATTTCAAACATTCGCACAGATTTTATTCGCGTTAATTTCCGCGCCGTTAATTAAGAGAAGCGGTAATTTCCGCGACCTTAAATTCATTATTTTCTTCCTTAATTCTCGATCTTGACACCTAAGAAAGAGGAGTATTTTATCAGGATTTAGATGTGCCAATATTAGAACATCTGTAAAGAACCCCTCCAAGTGCCCAGATTTCNGTGGGCAGTTTCCCACAAACCTAAATTGATCCCACATTTCTTGGCTTGGCCCCCTTTTGTACGTTTAAGAAAAGAACTACGAATAAAGTTTCCATTCAGATTATACGTTTAACTTTGTTCCTCCTGTCTCAACAGGGTTTGTTTCTTTGTGAACGTCGCGTTATTTTCCTTGTTCTTGAAATGCTATTCTCTCTTTGGCGTTAATTTCTTTTATTCGAAAGTCGTTTTCTACTAAATTCGCGCAAATTTCAGTCGCGTTAATTTCCAATTCCTGAATTTTCATGGAGCGTTAATCTCCTATAATAATTAGGTAACTTTTGGAAGAAATTCTCCGGTGTTGCCATTTCAATTAAACCTTTCTGGCACACCTATTACCAGGTACGACTTGTTCTTAGGATTTTAGAAAATGAAATTTTATCCTTTTTGCTAATTTTCTCTGTGGCAAATAATTATAAGGAGTGAATGGTTTTTCGAGAGTTACCAACATCAATGTTCTCTTTACAATATAATTATATCAGTACACAATCACGAGAAAAGGTTAAGAGAATCTAATAGTAAAATGTTAACTAAATAGAAAATGCTTTGATCAGTTAATTCTCACAACCAATTCTTTTGGGAAGTGTATGGAGATAAGTTTGGAGAATTTGTATATGGATATAAGGGTTTACATGTTGTGAGTTTAATCTTTCTAACCCTTGGTTTCCTTCCATTCTAGCACTAGAAGACTGTAAAGTTACCTCAAATCTTATTCCACTCAAGAGTCTTATACAAGGAGCGGCATGTCAAGCGCTCAGGAAAGTGGACTTAGCTGTCCAAGTACGTAAATTGAAAAATATTTTCTTCTCCATACGAGCAGGTTAGCGGGTAGGACAGGGGCCTATAACGTTTAGTTTGCTAGGTTCGAGTTCAAGCCCTGGCTGGTTTCCCTGTGTTGGGTTTCTGTGCAAGACACTTGATTCTCTCAGCGCCTCATTCCATCCAGCTGTATAAATGGATACCAGCGAATGTGATGCTAGGGGTAGCCTTGTGATGGCCTGGCATCCCATCCAAGGAGGGAGTAGCAATATTCTTAGGGGGTTTCTTGCTTCAGAAACCAGGGAAAAACTCCGGCCTTAAGTGAGCCATTTGGCTGGAATGCAGATTTTAACCGTATCAAGGTAACCGCCTTATTGTACATTGCGCTCAATCTCGTGTCTTCTCATTTCCTTAAAGCCTGCAGTTAATTTTGGATATTAGCGCAACCTACCAATTAGTTGGTTAAATCATATTTTACAAGATATAACAAAAAACTCATCCAATATGATATTCAAATATACTAATAGATAAATAATGATCTCGGGGTAACCCATGCACGACGTGTCGTCTATCATATTCCTGAATGAATACTAAGCGCTGAATGGTGTTTTCCACAGTATTTCCAAGAAGCAGTTACCAAATCAGGTCGCTCTCCCCCAGACCCTCACGTTCCACCATTCGCTTACTATGAACTTGGTGTTCTCTACGCCAAGGACGAAAAGGTGAGTCATGTTACCAGTAAGTCTGCAGTTCTGGAACGTTTAGGTCACGTTCCTGTCTATGACAGTCCACGGATCCCAGTCCGCTGTGGCCACCTCTGGCGGTGAAAGGGTTAAACAGCAACAACAGTTGCAACAAAACTACCTCTACAAAGTTTTATTAAACTCTGTGGTTGTTCAGTAGCCCAAGTACTACAGGTGATTTTACCCCTAAGTGCACAATTTTTTCACCGTATGGCTTGACTATAACAACGAGGTGGTTGCTCCTGTGTATACCCAATATGACTCACAAAAGAGAGTATCCACCCGAAACCTGACAAGAAAAGAGTGAACTGGAATTTATCTGTATAGTTCTTGGAGTAAAGATCCTCTCTTTTCCTTTCAGACGAGTGCCAAAGGAGAGGAGCTGCTAAGAAAAGTCAAGGTTTGCTTTGATAATTTCTCTTGAATTTCTGAGAGACGTTTCAAATTGACTATCTTTTTTTCCTCCACTTTAAGAGGGCTTGGCTATTTAATCACACGAATTCCATAGTGGCCTTTAAAACTTCCTATGGGTGATTTGCAACAGCAATTTTTGGGGCGACAATGTTGCAAGGCTGTGTTGCACCGAAAATCGTCGTTGCGAATCGTCGCGTCAGCATCGCCTAATTGTATTGTTTCTTTTGCATTTATTATTTAATAGTTATTATTTAATATTCAAAGAAGTGCACGTAGGTACCATAATTGGTCAGAGCGAAATCGTTATATTCTCATAAAGTTAGCGCGCTGCTCTATCGCACTCATCTACGTAACCAGTATAAGCGGTTACATTGGCATAGGTTATTTATAAAGAAAAATGGCAAAACGTATTTCTCGTAGCCTGCGTAGCAGGCGTCGAAAGGGGTAGGGGATAGGGAAAAAGGGAGGGTGCTTTTCTCCGTCCCCCTCCCCCTCCCCTTTTGCGCCTGCCACGCAGGCTATATTTCTCGGGAACCGTTGAATTATTCTGGCACTTAAGGACTTTTTTCCCGACATTGTGATGTTTTTCCCGTATCATTGAGTTAAGGCCATTCCTACGGTTTTTTTCCTTTACAGGATAATTTCAGCGGGTACGACTTTGAAAACAGACTCAGTTTCCGAGTTCACGCGGCGCTGGCAAGAATTGAAGAAAGAAAAGCAAGTGGGACAATCCAAGGACCGGTAAAAGCCAAGTAGTCAAGAGGAAACGACATAAGTGTTAGTGAAAATCCTCTTTTTCTGAGAGTGTGACTTGTAACGCAGCGGGTAACTAACGCATTTTAAACTTGGCCACAGGGTACTGGATTTTTAGCCTGTGAACAGCAGCCCTCTCCCTCACCCCTCCCCCCATCATGGTGCGTACTCAAATCCTGATACACAGGTGGGGCCCAGAACGGCCTTGCGTGCTTCGCAGACGCTCTAAACCTTCTGTGTATAGCGGACTATACAAATGGTTTTGATGAGTGCGTGGGCTGGCTGCAACGCAGGCTAAGAACTACCCAGTACAAAGATTTCGGCGCTGTTTCGCAGACGGACTTAAATTTAGTTTTGTCTCTAGTCATCACTGAATACACTAGTAAGCATAAGTTCGTATTTAAATGGTAGAGGAACATGAACACTGTAACAAGAACTCAAAATTAAGTTAACTACGGTAGTGATATTTTAATTTTGTGGTTAAAATGGTGGGCCAAGACGGGGGTTTCATTATCACATTATTTATAATTTTATGTTTCTTTTGGAAAGTGTATTTTTACATTGTTGTATAATTAGTATCGCTATCGCACAGAATTCGCTCCTTGGCCATAGTAAAGGGAAGGCTTCAACTTCTTCTCCTCTTTGACAAGTGTTCCTAAAGAAAAGCTTTTATTTGACGATAAGTGGAGTCAACTCCATGTACATTGAACGCGATTTTGATTGCGCACAACTATCCGTTTTTACCAGCAACAAAACTCC